CGCAACTAGATTTAGTCTAGTGAGCAGTGTGGCTGCAACTTGTAATACAATTTATATTTTACTAGTTCGCCAGGCAGACGTTGTTCTGTCCTTTCCAAAGACCCTCCCTATAAAAATCATTAATTTCGCAATAAAAAATTTTGACAGTCATTTATCGGGATAAAAACTATCCTATCTCTCAAATTGGACTAAAATGCACACAGTGTGAAAAAATTCTTTGAAATCAGTTCAGGAGTTTAGGAGTCCATCGCGGACAAACAACGTGACACGTAATTTTTATATATAAAGATAAAGATAATATGCTACTAATACAATTTAGTGTATCAAGAATTAAAGCTCAATTCAAGATATCCTCATTTCAATACACGGGAACTAGAATGTCGTCTAAATACTTACATTAAAAACTTCATCCCCTATAGGGATGAACCCTTATGGTTGGAAATTTCTGTACCATTTTATATGGGATCCACTCTGATCAACCTATTCAATAATAGAAGAATATTTTTAATCGATGTAGCAGTTTCCGAGAAATTGGTGAACTTTCTCGTAAACTTTTTTACGTGGTAGAGTTATGCTGCAACTATATTAGTAGTATAGTTGTAGCACGAATGGTTTGGGGAAAAACCATGCTCTCACAGAATACCAGCGTAAAATAGCAGCTTAACGCTGCTATGTTTCTTATGGTGACTGTAGAGAACCTGAGACCCTTTTTACTGGAAAAGAGGCATTCCAACTTAATCCTCACGGGTGATAACGCATCTGCATTTTGATTCTTTATTGAAGACTAGCTATTCCCCGCGACTTCGCCTGCGTGGAGTTATTTTTCGCGGAACCCTAAAATAAAAGCAGGCCAAGTTACTCCTTATAACATCAGCTATCTGCCAGTGTATATAAATATTGACAAATATTGACATTAATGTTTATACGATACTAACGTCACTCAATTGTTTTGCCTTCCCGTAACCCCTCCACTAACACTTAAACCTTATGGTATGGTATTAAAGTTCAAATTGTTTTTATATTATTACGAAACTTTTGTATGAGAATATAGAAAAGTATTGTTTTTAGACTTTTTCGGGAAATTTTTCTCTCCGTAAGAACCATCTGCGTACTTCATGGAATATTATAAAAAAAAGAATTAGCGAAAGCGGTTTAGCTGCTCTCGAGATTTTCGCTTAGCAACACATTCAGCGATTCATTTTTATATTATAGATAGATGTAAATGTCCAAGGGTCACAGCATCCATTTACCATCAGGTGGACTGTGTGCTCGTTTGTCACCCTATCCTATAAAAAAAATTAAATAACAAAACAGACGCGTAGAGTACAGGACTTCCTCGTTTTTTAAACTCGGGTAAAAATACTACCACCTTTGTTTGCCTAATCAATTGCTTTGTGGAACGTCTTCAGAGAGGAACTGCTACGATAGTATATTTATCTCTGCTCTCTCAAGATAATATCCATTATTCGTTCATTTAATAGAACCTATCAAAAGTTTACTGCTGAACATATGCATCCCCATAGATCTTACAGGGGGATATTTGCCATAATTCTCCCTCCTCGGAGGTGAGTTGGCAACCACAGTTTTTATTAGTTATTTCCCATATATTATATATTCAAGGGATGATATGAGTTCTTAGAGCTTTTAAGTATGTGGTAGTGGATATTCTAACGCCGCCGATACATGGCATTAACAAACTCATTCACATCATGTTGTTCAAATATTTATAACTACGTAGCCTCACTAACTAATAGTTTCTGATGTTTGCGCTACGAATATTTAAAATGTAAAATACCACTTCATACCTTTGGCTGGTAAATATTAATCTGTAATATAATCATCACTTGAATACGAAAATAACTTATTATCTTTTATTTCTAAACATATATTAAAGAAATAAAATAAATTGCAAAAATAAGTGTAACTACCATTGAGATAATATGTTACTACGTAACTAGAGTCGCCGCTTCCCAGTAAATTCGCGTCCCGATTACACCCCACCACGCTTCTCGATGACGTCGGTCATAGATTAATAAAATAGAGGTGATATTATACATTTTACATTACTTACATAATGTTAAATTAAACAACAAAGTATTGAAAAGTATTTTTATTTATTTTTCACTATCCACCTACAAAATATTGTCTGCTAAATATGTATACTTAACCCATTAAAAAATAAAATAAAATGAACAATCCTAAACACGTGTGTTCGCGCCAAACGCTGTTGTCGGAATCAACGTCTAGGGGGCGCGCAGCTCGGTGCCATACCGGTTTGACAGTTGGATGTGTCGAGCGCGCGCGAGTGCAAGTCAGTCGTCTGCCAGCTGTGCTAACGCTAGCACACTGTAATTTTGTTCGGAACTCGGAATAATTAGGCGCGGCCCGTAAATATACGGTCTAGGATTTGTGACGCGTATTCCTTGCTGGGTAGCTTCCCAGGGACTTATTGGGTCCGACTCAGAATCTGTATAAGTGCATTCGACAATATTAGCTAGTGCGGCCTTTGATATTCTAGAAATAACTGTTGCTACACGAAACGGTAGTGACCTTTGATCCGGACACTCCGTGTTCGTTTTGTGCGTTAACCTTATAACAAACGAGAATTAGTGGCTTCTATAAGTTAGTTAATCGTACGATAGAGTTAATGGACTGTCATCGTGACGAACGAGGAAAGTGACTGTGGACAACGCCGCGGAAGGTTCCCTCAATTTGGAGCGGTGTCGACTCCCGGGCTGCTGCCGACGGCCAAGGTCTACTCGGGTCAATCACCATCAGTCACACCCAGATACACATCACATCACCTTATTTGCCTTGCACTACACAACCACATGCGACCTGACCGACTCCGGAGGGACCAGTCGCCTTGGATATAAGTAAGTAAGCTCCGTCTAATATTCTCCCGGTCGAATTGCCGTAGTATAGAACGCTCCCCCATATAGTTTAGTGTAATTAGAGGTTTTCCACTTTGGCCTGGAGGAGGCCCGACCTACGTCTGCTCGTCAAAACTCAGCTGAATGGGCCCCTGAGGATTTGACCTTTAAGGGAGCAGCCGTAGGCCGTAACAACGTGGAATCCTTAAAGATACATTGATACATCAAATGTAGAAAAAAAATTACACACAAATAAAACATTATTGTAGTAGAATGTTTATTTTACGTTCTTTTTTATTGCGTTATAAAATTGAGAGAAGAGTGTTTACTATAAAATAGTAAATACTATAATAGAAATTATAAAAGAAAAAGGACAATATTAATATAGGTTATGACTTAATTAAAAAAAAGTTGTCGCTTCTGTGCCATAGGAGCTTTAATCCACGCTCGTTCTTTTTTATCTCTCTCGCTCTTACGTAATAGCAGCGCGTGCAAGGGAGCGAGCAATTATGATTTATTTAATTCTTTCGAATCACAGAAAATTTACCTAAATTATACGAATTTCACCTAATAATATATTACTTACCTATGAAATGTTACTCCTTCAGATTTTGATGCATTTCTAGAACTATATATTTTTACAGGATCTTAGTACGCAATACGGCATAATTAATTATTTACGTAATCTCTGCACCGTGTATCTCGGTCTCTCACTAAACAGCGAATAAGGCCCATTGAGGAGCGTGCACCAATGTTTTATACAACGCAGTGCTTGTTGGTAGTAGCGAATCTAGTTACGTAGTAACATATTATCTCAATGGTAACTACCTATGCTATGGCGATTATTGTTAACACATGTTAACATTAAAGTCTTGTCTTGTGAAATAACGTTACACTTTATTCTACTGCATATAGATAACATTTTTGTAGTTATAAATTGAAAAATACGAATGTAACTTTCTCTTATTCTTAGGTGTAGTATGAAAAGGCCAAAGATGACCACTTGCCAATTTTAACTACACGCAAGGATTACATGCAAGATCTTTAAATTACATACATAAACACTCACGCCTGTCACCCAGAGGGGTAGGCAGAGATTATGGACTTCCATTTGGCACGATCCTGACACACCTCTCTCGCTTCCTCCACATCCATATACCTACGCATACACGCTCGTCGGTTAAAGGTACTCTTGATTTGGCCCATTTTTAATATATCGCCAATTTGGTCGATAAACTTTCGCCTAGGGCGACCCTTCCCGACTATGCCGTTCACCTCTGCAACATAAATTTGCTTTGTCACTCTTTCCTCATTCATTCTTTCTACATGGCCAAACCACCGAAGCATTCCTTTCTTAATCCTGGTCACAACATCATCTTGCAAACCACACTCTTCTCTTATTAAACAATTTCTCACTCTGTCATTCAGCTTCATCCCTAACATACTCCTTAATGACCGCATTTCTACAGCATTTATTCTACTCTCATGCTTCTTCTGCCACACCCAACTTTCACTACCATACATTAAAGTAGGTACTAACACAGCATTGTGAATTGCCATACGTGCCTTTTTGGACACATTCTGACTTTTCACAATAGAGTGTAGAGCCCCATTCACTCTATTTCCTGCATTCACTCGTCGTTCTATATCCTTATCATATCTACCATCCCTGCTAAACACACATCCCAAATATACAAACTCATCTACTTGCTCTACCAACTCCCCTTCTATTCTTATTTCACATATCGTTTTACTTTCTTCTCTTTCAAAAACCATAACTTTCGTCTTACTTGCGTTCACTTTCATTCCCTTTTCTTTTAATGTCCTGTTCATTAATGTAACCATCATTTGCAACTCGGCTGCCGACGACGCAAGTATGACTTGATCTTTAAATTGTTTGCCTATTTATGCAGAACAGATTTTGCAGAGCTTATTTGCATGCAGATGTATTTGCGTGGTGATGCATTACAATGTTCAATGTTCATACATGATACAATAATAACATTATGACCTTAAAGATTATGCAAGTAAAATAAAGACAGACAATAAAATATTTACTTGTTTCTAAACGCCTTCCGTCAAAATTGCAAACCAGAACAGTGACATTTAGTGCCAAGTTGTCAAAAAATGTCAGCCAACAAGGAAAGTAACCTTGTTCAGGGATATATTGAATTAAATAAATTTTGCCAAAGTGGTGACTATGATAGAGCATTAAAAGCAGCGGGCAAAAGTAAGTTAGACATTTTTCTGTAATAATATCAAAAATTATACTATATTTTCTACATTTATAGTACAGTAACAGTAGTAAGGGTAAAAGGTACCCTTTTAAGTAGCAGCTTCACCCTTCTCTTCTGACTAAATTCTTGAATTATAATTATTTAAAAACCCTCTGATTTGAATAATTTTGAAAATTCTTCAAAAACACTTGATCTGAAACGTTACATACTGTATTTTTGCTGCTTTTAACTAAATATAATCTATCTCTTAGTCTTGCAGATTGCCCCAACAGAACAAAAAGCCTTCCATTGCAAGATTATTTGCTTCATTCAGCTGCACAACTTCAAGGAGGCATTGGCAGTACTGAGCAACCCCAAAAATGTTGCTCTGGCTGGAGATTTGCACTTCGAAAAGGCATATGTGCAATATCGCCTTAACTGCCCTAAAGATGCATTACAAACTGTGGACAATGCACCTGAGATGACACTGGCTTTAAAGGAATTAAGGTAATCAATAGTTTAATTTATTTTTTGCATTTGGTAGAGCCATGCTGCAGCTATATTAGTAGTATAGTTGGAGCATGAATGGGTCGGCTCGACTGCGGAAAGACCACGCTCTCACAGAATACCAGTGTAAAATAGCAGCTTAACACTGCTGTGTTTTTGTATGGTGAGTATAGAGAACCGGAGACCGTTTTTACTGGAAAAGACGTATTCCATCTTAGTCCTCATGGGTGACAACGCATTTGCATTTTGGTTCTTTATTGAGGATAGATGTAGATGTCTATGGGTCACAGCCACCACTTACCATCAGGTAGACTGTGTGCTTGTTTGTCACCCTATCCTATAAAAAAAAAGTGATGGTAAAAAGTAAAACCAATTGACTGAAAGATTTGGACATTGATGTGATGATCATATAAAGTAATTCAGTATGTCACACAGACTAACCATACTTCCTGGTATGGTTAGTGTAATATTATATACAAGATTATTTTGCAATAACCGGCCAAATTTTCAGAGGAGGTTCAGAATAAGTAACATAGGCGAATGGTGAAGAAAAATTAATTAAAAAAAATCTCATACATTTTGTCCTTATATCTTTTAATTGATAATTTAAAATTAAAAATTTTGTACAACTGTCTTGAATATAAATTATTAAGAATAACCCAAAAACTATTGGTCAGAAATTTATATGAGACCATATAAGAAGCACCAGCTTTCAAATAAAAAAATATTCATCGAAATCGGTTCACCCAAAAAAATGTTATGAGGTAACACATAAAAAAAACATACAGTCGAATTGAGTCCTCCTCCTTTTTGAAGTTGGTAGAAAATGTGTGGTGATGCATTACTTTAGCTGATTTTAGTGTGCATGTTGTGGCCCATAAATCACATTCAATTTGGGATAATTTCAAATCGAAGTAGCAGCTTTATATTTAAATACAAACAATCGATACAACGCAACTTTAAACTTGAATATAATATACCTACGTATAGTAAAATTAGCACACAATCAATCGAAACTGTTTTGAGGCAGTGAAATGAAATTCCGCGTGCGCTAGATTTATTTTTATGATAACGCACGTTTGGTACAGTCTGTTCTGAAAGGGATAAGTGGTTATTGTGTTATACCTATTCCATATTATTATTACTATATATTAATATACATTTACTATTTCTTGTAACTAACATTATTTAAAAACAAAAAATGAAAGATTTCTTTATTTTTAAGGGCTCAAATACTGTACCGTCTAGAACAATACCAAGATTGCTACAATTTGTACCGTGACATTGTCAAGAATACTACTGATGAGTATGAAGATGAGAGGAAAGCTAATATGTCAGCTGTTGTGGCCAACTTAGCAGCCTTGAATCCTGTAAGTTAGTTCCCAGTTTTGTGTGAGGCAATGTGTGGGTGTTTACATATTATTAACACATACAAGACACATCTTATACATGGTAGAGCCACGCTGCAGCTATCATATGGTTGTAGCAAGAACGGGTCAATGTTAGAGGACTATGCTCTCACAGAATACCAAAGTGTAAAATAGCAGCTTAATGCTGTTATGTTTCGTATGGTGAGTGTAGAGAACTGGAGACCCTTTTAACTGGATACGAGGCATTCCATCTCAGTCCTCAAGGGTGACAAAGCATCTGCATTTTATTTCTTATTAGATGATAAACATAGATGTCTAAAGGCCACAGCATCCACTTACCATCAGGTGAACTGTGTACTCCTTTGTAACCCCTATTCTATAAGAAAAAAAATACAAGAAGTTCTTGTGAAGTCTTTTAAAATCTATACACAAAATGCTCACTAGGTGGTAGGACTCTTTTTTTTCCTAAGACGCCGTCTGTCTGTAGGTACCACCCCCTCACCTGTTTCTGGCGCCAAATAGCAGTGCTGCCCTCCTGTATTACAGAATTTCAGATACTAAAGTGTGTATGAAAGCAAGTAGATTTTTTTAGAGAATAACGCTTACAAACAAGCACACAGTCCACCTGACAGTAAGTGAATGCTGTGGCCTATAGACATCTACATTTATCCTCGATCGAGAATCAAAATGCAGATGCATTATCCGTCACCCCTGAGGACTGACATGGAATGCCTCGTTTCTAGTAAAAAGGATCTCCGGTTCTCTACACTCACCATATGAAGCACATCAGCATTAAGCTGCTAGCTTACGATGGTATTCTGTGAGATTACAGGCTTTTAGACATTCCATGTTAGTCCTCACAGGCAATAGCACGTCTGTAGCTATCCTTGCTTGAATTTGGCTGCTACTGTCCAAGGAATGCAGTGGCCACTTACCATCAGAAAGACTGTAAATTTGTATGTCACTAAGGATATAAAAAAATCCATAGTAAACTAAATAATGATTGCATATTAAAGATCTATAATTTTTTGTAATTTTTCAGTCTGCAGATCTTCCTCAATTTGAAGAGACTACATATGAACTATCATATAATGCAGGCAGCACATTAGCTATGCGTGGAAAGTATAATGAAGCACTTCCAGTGTTGAAGCGAGCTGAACAGGCATGCTCTGAGAGTGTTATTGAAGATGGAGGCACTGAAGAGGAGGCTAAAGAAGAGGCTGCTATTATAAGGTATTTAATAGAAAGACAACAACAAACAAAATGTTGCTTTACATTATTTCTATCATTTTATTGTTAACTTTATTAATATAGTGGTTACAATCCTGACTGGTGATTATATAATCCCAGATACAAATCCTGAGTCAGGCCCGTGGCTACTGATCATGTGTCAAATTCTGGGTTGGGCGAACATCTTTCGTGTTTCACCATGTAAAATGTTTTACGTATACACCATGTATAAAACCTTTAGCCTTGTGCCTGATCTCTCTCTGGTCACATCAGATTGCCTTCCCATTAGACTATGAGAGGGGAGGAAAAGAGAGTGCACCTGTGAGTAATCCTGTCTTTTGGATGCCTGCATACAACATAATAAATAAATAAATGTAACATTTTTGATTCCTCAAAGTGTAGTTAGGGACCAAATTACCAAATGCACCTACATTTCACCAATAGTAATTTGGTCCCACTTCAATGTCTATTGCATTCTGAATGTTATTTATTTTTTTTAATGTTGGTATTTAGTACAATAAGATTTTCACCTGCACCGTGGACTTACCTGGCCTTCTTGTTTTACAATTAAAATATTTCATTTAACACAATTTTATAAGACTACTAGCTAGTACCCGGCACAATGCTGCCACAGGAAAAATAATTGTGAAAATATCGTTTTATATTTGGAAGAGTTATATTGTTTAATTAGGAATGATAATAATGATGATATATAACTTTCAATAAGTTAATTGTACTATGCCTATAACCTTCGTACAAGTGCAAGCAATAAGTTGACAAAGTTTTACTGCAATCTGATGAATGGAATGGTAGCGCATGAAATACGAACAAACAAACATTTAATTTTGTTACTTTCATCTAATATCTTACCTCCGCCCTTATGCCTCCAGAATTTCTTATTGTGAGAATATTACTTCCCTTGTTGCAGGGTTCAACATGCATACTGTCTCCAACAGATGGGACGTGAGAAGGAAGCAGCAAATATATACCATAATGTGTTGAAAGAAAAGCCAAGTGACCAAGCCCTTATTGCCATAGCTAGCAACAACCTTGTTGTTATTAATAGGTAAGTCTTAAATTGTTACTAACCTCATATTTTCCGTCCTACTGACTGTTTTCTCTGGACAGATATTTTATGAACCGTCAGTTCTGAATTATGTTAATAATCGATACTATATATTTTTATACATAATATAGATTTACAATTTTTATCTTAATGATTTATTTTTATATGTACGCGAATACTATACATTAAATGCTTTACGGATGTCATTGTGTCAAATTTAAACTTTTTATTTTCCAAATGTTTTTGTTTGATGTTTGATGTCCCGATATTATATTAGGCCGGCTACCTTCAGCTTTAATAGACCACAAATAATTGTGCAAGAACACTGATTCCTACCAAGAATGATTTGTGAGGCTATTTAAATTAAAATACGTCCTAATTTCAATAGAGAAGATGAATTGGTGCTACCATCTACTTGGGATCCTATAATTAATAAAATTAAATCCAAACCCAAGCATACCACTGCAAGGCTTCAAGATACTGTAAGCTCGTTCTACCTAGATTTGACCAAAAATTGATATTCATAAGGTGAAGGTAGTCGAGCTAACTATGACACCGGGAAGTCAAACACTTCAGTCTCCCCTGTTACCATGGGTACTGCAAAGCACCCGAAACGTCGGGAATTAAAAAGTAAAATTAAACGCGATAAAATCCGTAAAATTAGTTTCATTTAGTTAATTTTTTTTTTCTATTTACTTGAGAAACATACTTGAGGCCAAAATTGTAATAAAACTACTATTTCTTTTGTTGCTATCCTTATTGCCTTCCTTAGCTTAGAACCTGTTAGGTCTGTTTATGCCATTTGTTACTGTATAGTTATGTATTATGTAGGATTTATGGCACTTTGATTAAATACTACATTAATAAGTGTTAACCTTACCCTTAACCGACATACGTATATGCATAGATATATGGATCTAAAGGAGGCGAGAGAGGTGTGTCAGGATCGTGTTGAATGGAATCCGTAGTCTCTGCCTAGCCCTCTGGGTGATAGGCGTGAGTGTTTATGTGTGTATGTAACGAGTATTAAAAGTCACTAGAATATATTTACAAAACAAGACATGATCTGCTTAGTAGTGAGAAGCTTTTATTGTAATACTCTTCACTTCAGAGCTTGGAAATCTCTTATTTTACTAAAAAAAAATCTATTAATATAACCAAAAAGGCTTATTAATTTCTCTAACAAATTAAAAAGTAAACATAGAATTCAGTTTAATATTAATATCCTACAATCAATTGGTAGAAGACTGGTCAATACTAGGATTCCTTGTATTAAATTATTATTTTAGCCTTTTCTATTTATTACAAGGTATAGAGGCCAATGCTAAATTGTTTTGGGAAGAGTGACAGTAAAAATGTCGAAAAATGTTAAGCATGCTTTCTCAATTTTTCTTTTTTTTTTTAAACAATTTCGTCAAATAAATTTGTGTTTCGAAGGGACGCAAACGTATTCGATTCCCGCAAACGCATGAAGGCTGCTACTGCCGAGGGTCTGGAACACAAGCTGAACTCGCGCCAACGCGCTGCCATTGTGTACAACCAGGCCATACTAGCTATTTACTCTAATCAGGTATGTATTTATTAAAATTTGCCCATATAATACATAATATATATTATAACAATCTTAAGACAAAAATTAACTGCCGCTCTTATGTCTGATTTGGATCCCAGCGACAGCTTCTGAATACTATTACTGTTAGAGCTTATCAAAACCCTATTGCTGAACATAAGCTTCCTCCGCCTTAGATTGCTTCATATGGGGAATATTTGCCACGTTGCCACATTTGGCAGGCGAGTTGGCAACTGCAGATTTTTATTTGTAGTTATTATTAAGATAACACTTTTGCCCATCGCTTGGTTTGTTTCACTCTATCGTCTCTTGCAATACCGGCAGGATGATATGGGGTAGTGCATATTCTTACGCCGCCTCTACACCGTTTAGCTTCTGAATGTTATAAACTTACTATACATCGAAAAATATTTTTATAATACTATGTTATGTAAATTATGCTAAATAAACTATTTTTTTTCGTTTTTCTTTCTATATTGATTTCACACAAGAAAACAACTTAAAAAATTTTTTTAGGAAATATGGATGTAGTTTTTAATGTATATGTGTATTTTGACGACATTCTAGTTGAAAAAGTAAAAAAAAAAATACTTCAAATAAATAAAAATTTCCATGAATAACTTTTAAATTTTTTTTACACAAATTCTTCTTAGCACCACTCAGATTCAGTCGGTAAGATTTGTTTAAAATACTTCAAATTTCTTTTTAGCCAGACTTCTGTAAGCAATGTTGCGTTAAATTGACGCGGGAGTTAAACCAAGAGCGCCGAGCGGCGCTGGTGGAAGCATCTTCAATGGTAAAGGAGGGCAAACGAGCTCAGGCTGTAGCATTGTTGCTGAAACATGGCGGTTTACTAACCCTAGCAGCTGCACAAGTGCTGTTGGCGCAGGTAATGACTGAATTTAAATAAATATAATATTTGTAATTTGCTTTGAAACCAATGTACTCTAATATGACAAATATATATATATATATATATATATATTATCGTTTAAAAGGATTTTGGCGGGAACTTGACCGCCGACGGATTGTTATTACTGCTATTTTATTGTTTAAGGAATGGTTTGAAGTGGATTTTGATATGTAAATGTGGTGTGATTTTGCGAGTTTGTGGAAAAACCATTAGTGGAAACGATGTAATAAGTGCTTTAACGGTGATTCAAATCTCAAGCGCCTTTATACTATCGTCATCAACTATTCGCTATGTTAAGCTATCGTTATCGTAAGCTATATTTTAAAGTCTTGTGAACAAAATATACGTCAGACTAGACTGTATGGTCAAAGACCTTTGATGCCTTCTTTTTTAAATTTTCTATTTAAGTCATAATTCAGGTGTTCATGCCTTGCTTAGAATAATTCTTAAATTATATTAACTTATTAATAGGAAAGCTTACACTTATTACAAGGAACATACATCTTACAATAATAAATTAAAAATGGCGTAAATAAAATAACCAAATAACACAGCGGCTGTCCCTTTGATTTAGCCAGTTTGACCCACCCAATATCCCAATAAAAGTTAAGCGTTGGATTTAATAAACCGCATCAACAAAATCGGTCGAGTTGAACTAATATATCCCTTCATAACGGATCCATGCGGACGTCGTCTCGGGGTATCCATATATTGTATACCAATGACAGAAACAATAAAACCTCCAGAATGTAACAAATACTTTTCTGAAAACCTCATCAAAATCGGTTCAGCTGAACGCGAGATAATCGCAGACAAACATATGTACAAACATACAGGTCAAACTGAGAACCTCCTTTTTTAAGTCTGTTAAAACAATGATTTTTCTTATGAGCCATCGTAATTAACACTGCGACTATGATACTTATATAATGTTACGGTTATTAATAAAATTTCAATCAAATGGCACTCTGCAGCAACGTGATGTTATTTGCAACCGGGACGTCACGCAACACGAAGCCACGCATATGCACTAACGTACTCTAACTAACTCTTACAAATAGGGCACAAAGCTACACGAATGATGCTTAACCACGGGTCATATTGTCATTGACTTATATTGTATGTAAATATGAACAGCGCCCCCTAGCTATTCGAGTAATTAACACTCAGTTAATTACTCGATGGCAATATGACTTCGACACGATGGAAAGAACATATAAAGGTTGTTACCAAATCGATGGATCAATCGTCGAACGATGCCATTGATAGACGTCGAACGATGTCGACCGATTGGTGTGGTAGCTTTAGGTGATCGACGTATACTGGTAATAAAACGCTAATAAAACGTTGTTCAATCATCGATCAACAATTAATCGATGTGGTTGTGGGGTCATCGTCAGTATCTTTTAAAATGTATTCAGAAGATGATAATAGAGAGCGACCTGTGGAGCGGGGCGGGTTCTCGAATAATCAAGGAGCACGATCGACGTCGACTAATCCATTTCATCGTGATCGATCGATTGAAGTGGTAACACCCTACCATATACCATATAGAGGGGGCAAACTAGCATACGGCTCACCTGATGGTAAGTGACTACCCCCGCCCATGAACAACTGCAACACCAGGGGAATTGCAGGTGCGTCCCAAGGTCGTATCGGTCTGAAAAAATCGCAACGACATTCTAAGGGGCAGTCCGCGGCCAGGTTATATACGCGTAATGCATCAATCGCCTTACTAACACATTCCTGAAATAGAAAATGCTTTTTACTACAAGCAGCATGCTAAATTCAATCAACCTTGAACATGGTTTTATTTTTAAAAAAGGATCAAGGAATTTTGAGCTCATTATTGAATTTTATTTTTTTAATTTTTAATGAAGGCATCCTGAACTTTAGTACAATACTCTGCCGCAAGTAAATAGCTTTAAAAAAGTGATAGCACGACTGCATATGGTTTTTATTATAAAATACGCCTCCCGCTTCTACAAACTTGATCAGATATGCTACAATTATGTATATTTGTCTTGCAGGGTGATCGCAAAGCAGCAATAAAACTTCTTGAAGAAAGCGAGTTCAAGTTCCGCCCTGGTGTGATCGGTGTCCTTTGTACACTGTTGTGTGCAGACAACGAGTTTGAAAAAGCGTCAAAAATGTTTACCGAAGTCTACGAGCACTATAAAGACGACGAGGTATTTCTGTCTGACTTTTTCTTGTGTTATAACTGAATATTTATAATATGTTTTAACTGATCTTTTATCTTTGAACACATTATGTAGACTAAGGTGATAGTAATACAAATAAGATCACTGTGTTCAACCATTTGGCGTCATGCAAGTATTCAGATGGGAATATAATACATAACTATTTTTTAATATCTCTACCATCACGAGAATGATGTGAAATAGTAGTCACGCTGCTGTTGTTTAATGCAGCTGTGTTTTGTATGATGAGCGAAATGAACAGGAGGCGTAGTAGAGCCATGCTGCAGCTATATTAGTAGTATAGTTGTAGCACGATGGGGTCGGCTCGTCCGGGGAAGGACCGTGCTCTCACAGAATACCAGCGTAAAATAGCAGTTTAACACTGCTTGATTTCGTATGGTGAGTGTAGAGAACCGGAGACCCTTTTTACTAGAAAAGAGGCATTCCATCTTAGTCCTCACGGGTGACAACGCATCTGCATTTTGATTCGCAAACGAGGATAGATGTAGATGTCTATGGGCCACAGTGACCACTTACCATCAGATGGACTGTGTGCTCGTTTGTCACCCTATCCTATGCGTGTGCGTGTGCGTGCTTTCTGATAACTATAAAATAACTGCGGATGCCAACCCGCTCGCCAAGCGTGGCAACTATGGCAATATACCGCCCATGGAGAAAGTTAGAAAGAGACGGCCCCCAGGCCCCGGTGGCCCCGCTATTACTCGCTACAGTGGCGACCATGGTAACGGCGGGGCAGGGGATGCTAAGAATTACCGGTGGAGATTCGGTTGCCACCTAAGACGACTCGACTTGGCAACATATAACGCACGCACCCTGAGGACTGACGAGAAGATCCTGGAGCTGCAAGAAGAGATAGACAAGTTGCGCTAGGATATTATAGGATTATCTGAGGTCTGAAGAGAGAGGACGGTCACGGTAATCCTCGAATCCAGCAACTTGTTCTATCACCGGGAGGCCGACCATCTGTCCCAAGGAGGTGTAGGATATATCGTCCACAAGTCTCTTGTTAACAACGTTGTAAAGATTGTGATTGTATCGACGAGGGTTGCGTACCTTATACTTAGAGTCACCAAACGGTATTCGCTAAAGGTCATATAGTTTTACGCCTCAACCTCGGAACATCCTGATGAGGAGGTGGAGGAAATTTATGAAGATATCTCTAGAGCCATGGATTCCTCCAAAAGCCACTATACGGTGTTAATGGGAGACTTCAACGTAAAACTAGGCACAAGAGAGAACGGTGCTATAATCCAAAGCCCCGAAAACTTTTAGCTTCGGGATCGAATTTATTTGTGACCCATGATCAAAGGTGTCATTAGTACTATCATCTGTCTTCGTTTTCGGGAGCGTTTCACAAACACCTGGTATTTTTACACACATATTTAGGCAACTTTTGTTATATTTAACGAGCCTAGGAATAACATCTAGGACAAGTTTGTCTGGGACACGTCGGTTTCGAGGATATAATATATCGCTTGCTTTGCTTAACAGTTGCTTCAAAGAGTCAGCCGTGCTGGAGGTAGCAGGACGGTTGAAAAGCCACCTGATGTTCTCTTTAGTTAAACTTCGCTCTATCTCCGACTGTTTGTCTAGTAAAAAGGTGTATAACTTTTTAAAGTATTTGTTTTGTAAAATTTGTACCACAATGCTACCTGACAAAGCTAGGGAGTCCTCTTCGAGATACGAACCGTGGAAATGCAGCTACAAACGCCTCAATCGAAAGATCCGACACTACTTCGAAGTGGACGGCCTTAGAAGCATACAAAAACACAAATAACATTTTTGTATCTTAGCGGTCCGCAGTCTGCTAGATTTAAGAAAGAATGGACTTGCAAAGTCTGATCCGACACCGTTGATGGGCGTATGCTCTGAATGCAAACCGATTGAAAATCTGCCATATAAGTTTGCGTGAGCAACATTTCATTCAGTTCAACGCACATTCGTCCGCACCTTACGTATCGTACGCGCCGAGTTTTACTGATGGCCTCGCACATTTGCAAGTACGCACCGTCCGCGCCGTACGCATATCTTTTGTATTGCCAATAACTTTTGCAGTTTTTTGCAACCACTAGTGTGAAACGGTACAGTGAAATTGATCGCTAGAAATCACTATGGAAAGAAATATAGTAATAGACTCCTTACTGGCAGAGGAAGAAGAAAATAAAATTCGAAGAAAAAGGAGATTCTGGATTCATAATATTAATTTTGAAAAATCAATTGTATGGAGAATATGAAGGGAATACTTTATTTAAAGACTTATTAAATGATGATGAACGATTAGACATTTGCATTTAACATAAAAGAAATTTCAAGAATTGCTACATGTACTAAAACCATATCTTTGTATGCAAAACTCAAGATTTAGAAGGCCAATTGAACCAGACAAAAGACTTGTAGTATGTTTGAGGTAAGTATTTTTATTGATAATTAAGTAATCAGGTATAATTGAATTTTTGAATTAATTTTTTTTATTTTTATAGTTCAGTATTTAAATAATTTATCACTAAGTATTTCATATTACAAATTAATTAAAAGTTATAAAAATACAAAAATTATCACATAAATCGAAACCACCAGTTATAGTGGAAAATCCACTAAGTTGGCAACATTAGACAACACTGAGTATCAACACGGGGGGTTTTGGCGGGAAATTGACCGGCGGCGGTTTGCTGCTCCTGTATTATTGTTTAAATAATGGTTTGAAGTGGACTTTGATATATAAAAGTGTTGCGATTTTGTGTATTAAGTGTCTACGCATGTGAACTATTAGTGGAAACAGTGAAACAAGTGCTCTGATGGTGATGGATTCTCAAGATAAGCTGTTTGTTTGCATAGGCACCTTTAGATACCATCGTCAACTATCAGCTGTCTGCTGGATCAAGTTGCCGCCAAAATCTCCCAAGAACTGCACAATGTGACGCATCAACATATTGTGAAGCAGTATACTATGAAGGAGTGGGGAAATTACAATAAACCGAATAAAAATACTTAAGACTTGGCCTAAAGGTCTAGATACCAGGCCATAAACTCCAAAAAAAAAGTATCAACACGCGCCGAACGTGTCGCGTTATGATACTCAGTGATGACGTCATCAGCATGCGTCCTTCAATATTCGTATACCTACCGCATTTTATAAAAGTCGGCGCGTACAGTGCGGGTGTAATGTGCGAGCCTCATATGATTTCATACAACGAATTTTAAAATTCGGCGCGTACGGCGCGGACAAATGTGCGTTCAGCTTTAGCCCGAGACCGAAAACATTGTATGCACTTAAACGCTACATGTCGAATGATGCGACGAGCCGACTGTCCAATAATTCCGAGATAGGATGGCCGATAAAGTATTTGCACCAACATGACAGTACACCTTATGATAATATGTAACTAATAACTCCGTAAAATTACCCTTAGCTGGCAACAGTATTGGGTGCCTTGCAGCATAACGCAAGTCCAAACCTTTGATTCGACCACCGACACGTATGACGTTGTCCTTATCGATAAATAAACTTAGGCGCCGAAAATAATTTTTGATATCTTTACCAAAAGTCAAGTTATATATTTTCTCACAGAAATACAATGATTGAACTAACCTCTATAACCTCTAAAATCAAAATATTACGAGGGCGGCACTGAAAATTTCGGGAATAAAGGAAGTGACACAACATTACCATTTAAAAATATATTTATTGCTTTTCGAAGTATTCTCCGCGAAATTTGACACATTTTTCCATACGATGGAACCAATCATTGAAGCAACCATTCCATTTGGAAGTTGGGGTCTCCAAAATGGCCGTTTTGTAGGCATCCACAGCTTCTTCAGGTGATAAAAATCTCTGTCCACGCAATTTATTCTTTATTTTAGGGAAAGTATAGAAATCATTAGGGCTTAAGTCGGGGCTGTACGGCGGATGGTCTAATAATTAACAAATGCTAGCATACCATTCTGCATTAACCGTTCTTTGTCCCTCAAGAGGAATAGTCGTAACATGGCCGGTTTTGGAGACAAACGTGGCCACCATTTTTTTTTTGCAACACTCCGTGAACGAACAATTTTTGTTGGCTTTAACTCATTTTCGAACACCCAAACTCGTGACTGGTTTTTTGTTCCATCGGGAAAACAACTTTTTTACACCTAATTGTTCATGCAAGATTATTTGTATTTGACTCATGCCAATGTCTAAAGTTGCCTGAATTTCGCGGTATGTCATATGTCGATCTTCCTCAATCAGCTTACGCACAGCATCAACGTTTTCTTGGGTGACTGCAGTTTTTGGACGACCTTGACGGGGATCATCGCTGAGCTTGACACGTCCACGTTGAAATTCAGCAAACCAGCGATAAATTGTGGTTTTGGATGGGGCTTCATCACCAAATGCAGAAATCATCCGGTCAACACACTGTTTTTGTGTTAAACCAATTCGAAAGACATAATAAATCATCGCTCTTGAATTTTCTCAAGTCAATTCCATTTTCTCAACGACTAAACAAGTTTGACAAAACTTTGTGACATGACCGAGAATCTTTTTTTAAATAAATAAATGGCATTCGATTTTTAAAACCAAGGACTTTTCAATTAAAAAGATTTTAATATGACAGGAATAGTGGAAATCTATTATCTAGTAATAGTGAATATCTCTATTCTTAATTATTTGAAGAACGCAATAAGTAAGCCGTTACTTTGATTAATTTATCAAAAGAACTAAAATAATAAAATAAATCGGAATTTGACTTAATAAAAGGATTTATTAAGTCAAATTCCGATTAGAATATATCCACCTTAATTATTTTTGCTTTGGCACGTAAAACAGGTAACAAATCTAAAGTAACTTCTAAAAGTTGGCACAACCACTGGATTCCACTACAATAGATGTTGCAATATTTCCGCTGCCATAGTACCACGAGATGCGACATCAACATGTCGCCTAGTAATTTTTATTTTAGACGAATAAATTTGATTGCCGCGATTTC